TTACTTGTGGAATAATCTACAAAATTCTCTAAAATGTTATGTTTTGATCCTTCTAGGGCAATTCAGACTGCTGATTGAGGACCTATTTAATGAAGAATGTGTTCATTTTTTATGATTCTGTTTTGTATTCGTTTTTTTGCGTTTTGTATTTTTGTTATTACATTTGCAAAAGATACCTTGTTCTCAATAGGACTCCCTGTCAAAATAAAAGGTTAAATGAATTGTTACAACTTTCTTGAAACCTCCTAAAGGAGTTCATGAAACCATTCAGTCATGCTTGTTACAGAAGACTACTCTCATACATTGAATAGCTATGCATCACTGTTACATACTATGGAAGCATTTAGCTGCCAAAACTCAATTGGAAATGCAAATGGTCAAATGATAAATCAATATCATTTTTGCAATTCCTTTTCCTAAATCGGTATGTATTTTTTGTGACAAAATTCAAATTGATTGGGTATACATGCCTGCCATTTTGAATAAGAAATAGCACAGTGTGTTTAATATTTCATTTCCATGGCACTATCCAGTACAACACTGACACATTTAAAAACTAAATGTGAATGCTTCAATGACAATTTCTCATGTTTGCCATTTCATTTCCTTGTTGTGACAGCATGAATTGTGACAAAAAGAAAAATAATTCTCAATTTATAATAATTTTCCATACTCTGTGTGCTTTAAGACTGTAAAAATGATAACGATCAATCAAATTTGATAAATAGCCTCAACAGCACTCTGTAGGGTAGCACCATGGTGTAGCCGGAGTACAGCTAGTTTCCGTCCTCCTCTGGGTACATTGACTTCCATACAAAACCTAGGAAGCTCATGGTTCTCACTCCCTTCCACAGACTTCCACAGCAATTATGGCGACTTCCGGAGGACGTTCTCCAACCAATGAGCTCTTGCAGCATGAAATGACATGTTGTCCACCCAATCAAAGGATCAGATAATGAATCTAGTACTGAAAGCATAAGCTACAGCTAGCTAGCTAGCACTGCAGTGTGGTGAGTAGTTGAGAAAGACAATAGTTTAACAGTTTTGAACACATTTATTTATTAAAAAATGAAGGAGAAGCAAGAGAGCGATTTCGTATTTCTTTTTCACTTTCACTTAGCTGGTGAATGCAGCTAGCTAGTTTAGCCTACTCAAACAGAGAGGGATGCTATGTTAGCTAGCTGGCTATGGCTATCCAACACTGGAACTCTTCCAAGTCAAGGTAAGCTTTTGGTTTTATTAATTGGCACTGGGGCCAGCCGGTGTAACTGCTTGCTGACTGTATTGCACGATTGTAGTGGGTTTACTAACGCTAAGTTCTAGTAGATATGTTGACTATAACGTTATCTAATATGGTGACAATGAGATGTAGGCTGTGTGTAGCGGTTATCATATGAATGTTTGGCTTGTAAAGGTTTTTTAATCTGGTCACAGACAACTGATGTGTTGTGCACTGAAGTCCACAAGCGAAGGGAAAAGGAGAGCGTGTTGATGCGTGAAGGAATTATACAATGAGCAAAATGATCATTCTGTTTGTATGTGGCTGCTATGAAAGTGAACTGTGTTTGCGCGTGATCAGGGGAATATTCATTCTACCAATTCTGGTGAAAAACTTTTCTTAAACGGAAGCATACGGAACAAAACGGGGATAAACATACCTGAATTTGTCCAACAAGAACTCTTGTTTGTAACTGTTGGACTAATGATTACACCCTAGATCAGCTAGATGCAGGCAAATGTGTGCAAGGCGGTATTGAATGTGTCACTGTCTGTCACCTTGATTACTCAATTTTTTCTCTTGACCTGTGCACCTGATTGAAGTACTAGCACTAATTGCTAATTGCCTACAGAGGTGAAGAGCATGCATCCCTGTACTAATTGCTGATTGCCTAGGAAACCACTACCCCTCCAATACAGCCAATGATTACCAAAACAAGTCACAAATTACCCTGCCAGCAGTTCATACACCTAGTAGTAGGCTACTGGGAAGACAGGCAGCACTTAAAGTAGATGGCCCTAACTAGCAAAAAGACAGTACTAGACAACAGATAAATAGAGAAATTATACATATCACTCCTGGAGATATCAGGAGTCCTCCAGCTATAGAATGAAGCACCAAGCTAGTCATTGTGGTAAAACTCCTGGCTATTATGAATGACACCATTGTAAGTGAATGAGTTTTGCAGCCTCTCACCATCAGTAAATATGTCTTCCCCTGAAAAATATTATGTTTAGATTATGTGGTGGACGTGTGAAGGCCGGTATATTCCTGCTCGTTGGCTACATCTGCTGGCCAGGAGAGAGGATGGCCCGGAAGAGTAAGAGCCTAATTACACACACCTGAATCTAATTAGCTTGGGCGGTGTCTGTTTTAACCTGGCTTTGGCCAGATTTTTTTGTTGTTGGTCTAGAGCAGCAAGAGCTGACATGCAGGGCCCTCCAACCCTGGGAGGAATATCGAACCCAACTGGACAGGAAACCTACCGGCTGTTACTTGGCCGTAGGCCTGACCCAAGTAAGGACAAACCTGTTGAATTTCTGTTTTCTTTTGTTGGATACGCTGGTAAACAGCTTAGCTGTCTGGTCGCAGAGAGGGACCGGAAGACCCGTGTAGAAAGGCTCAAAGGCAAGCTAGGTTTTGGTTTTATTGTTACCCAGCGCGGTGGCACATTCTGTTTCTTTCCCTGAATAAAAGTCCTGGGTCATATCCCTGGAGAAAGGTACATTTTTGTCTACGCTTGTGTTACTTCATACTGTTGTTGCCCCCCCCCCCCCCCCCCCGACAATTAGTTAATGCAAAGGCGAACAGGCTGATACAAGTGGCCAATAAACTTTATTGTCTACAATATAACTAGGTCATGTTATCACATTGAGGGGTGAGGTGGTCACAAAAAGATCAGGAGCCATCTTGTTCTCTTCCTGTGGCTATGTGTATCAAGTCATAGCGCACAAACAAGTGATAATGTTAGCTCCGTCACTGCCCATATCTCCACACAGCTGTGCCCTTGGAAGATAGTAAAAGACAGGATGAACTGGAAAACTGTGGTCACTAAGGCTCTTTGTTTTAACCGTGTGACCAGGTTACTCCGAAGCAACGAGAAACAATACAGGTCTATCTGTTCCTGAAGTTTATCTCCATCCCATGTCCTTGACTACACGCCCAGAGCAGCTGCAGGGAGCTAGAGGGAACCATCCTTTCTCAGAAGCACAGCATTTGCACTAAAGAAATGTCTCTACTATTGTTAAGCATATTAATGGTTAACTATTAATATTAAACAAAATCAGGTAAATATGTGTATACCCCATCATTCCCCTCTTTGAGACTACTAGTCTCAACAAAATCTAGGAATTTTAAAACCAACCAGTGAAAACATTATTTCATAGAAATATCAGTTGACTTTGCACTTACATCTTTCACAGTAAGATTCAAAAGTTTCTACTCAAAATAAACAATATAAGTGTATCCTAACACATAAAAAATAATGCAACTTCGTTTTAACCATAATATCTATTTAAGGCAGATATCTTGCGATTGTATAAGCAATAACAGGGCATGCTGAGAATAGTGTCAACATCTTTAGTTATTAACATACTAATAACTTACTCAAATCAATCAGTCAGTTTACAAATCATAATCAAAACCTAATTAATTATCCAAACCTAATTTAGAATGACAATTCTTAGTGATTCATTGGTCCTATCACTCAAAGTTAAAACCCTCAATTTAGCACACATCGACACTGGCGGAATGTACATTTATATTAACATACAGTATACTTATCCATAATTCTAGTATTAACTTCCTCATCAGGGAGTAACCACAGATCTGTATCTCAATGCATTCGTACTCTAAATTACTATAAATTTAGCAGTGTGTAGACCTCAATCAACCTGATACCACAAATAATGAATTACAGGCACAGTTGACCAACCCCTTCCTTCCCCGGCACTCAATCTTCTGGCGTCTCTTCATTATGTTCTTCAGATGGCTTCATAGTTCAAAATGGATGGCCCATGACAATGTCCCAATTTCAATGTCTCACCTGATCTGCCACCATCTCTACCCCCCCCATTCTGTCTTGTCCATTTGCCAACCAGTATACCAGCAACATGAGAGATGTTTTGGAATGGATCACTCTCCATGCTCACTCCACGTTGACTCCTGTCACACTCCCGAGAGAAAGGCATGAGAGAGAAGCAGTTGATAGCTTCAATTGGATGCTGTACACCAGTTGCTGGCTCTGATTCAGGTCTCCCGGTAGAAGTGGTGCGGACAGGGCCTTATTGAATGCCTTTGTTGCTCCTCTTCAGCCGGTTAGAGGGGGTTTTGAGGATCACACCGTTCTTTACCAAATTATCCCTGCTATGCATTAAGACACCATCTGTAGTAACCTCGAGAGAGAGGAAAGATCAGAACAGTTGAGTTCATTTCTGATTCAGACAAATTATTTTTACCAATTATTCTTAATACCAATTTCTAATATACTCTTATCACACTGTCGACTTCACCGCAGAGTACCAGGATCAGCAAGTTAGACCTCAATTTCTGTTAGGGGGACTAGTCAAGGGTAGCGAAATCAATGGTGGGGAAGTCAGGTGAGTCTGGAAGATCTTGAAGTTACTGTGGTGCAGATGATACCAGGTCGAGCTACCCTCTATCAGTACAGCCATTTGGTGTAGCCTGGGTGATGATGTATGGTCCCTTTTGGCTCTGGACCTTCTTCCGTCACTAGGGTCTCGGGCTCAGGCAGAATCTTTCTCAATGTATCAACATCGATCTGTGGAGTGTGTCCTTCCAGCAGAGTACCGTAAGGGAAGCTGAGAGTCACTGCTGCAAAGACACACACAGACACAAAATAAAACAATGCTATGCAGTGGCAGGGCCATCTTCCTCCTCTACACATAGTCTCCAGCCACAAATACATTTGCACATAAAACATTCCATCTAACCCATAACACATTAATTACTACTGCTCATATTCTTAATACAATTAGCATATTTACCAAAAGTCCACCTCTGCTTCAGCCAGCAATGGCGGAATCTGCTGCATTGGTGGCATGGGGTCCATCTCTGCCATGAAAGCTGGGTTCATGATCCCAGCTAGACCAGGAAGGAGATTTCAATTAATTGAAATGTATTTATTCAATTGAAAGGTCTCTAAGAGGTGAGGTTGTTGTTTAGTGACTGAAGTGTTTTAGTGTCTGACTTTGACATGTTTAACTTGGTTTACTTCATTAGTTTTGAGTTGATGTGAAGACTTACCACCTCTATAGGCTCTCATGGGGAATGAACCACCAGCAGCCTCGCAACTAGAGGCACTGTCTCCTTCAGAAAACTCCAAATCTGAAGGCAGAAAGAAACAGCCAACCAGAAAACAATTAAATTCTGTTTATGTCAGAAAGCAAATGTAATCAGCCTCATCCTCTTTTTCCCCCCCGGGTAGTTCTTGGATTGTGGTGGCATTTGCATCCCTTGCCTTTGCAAACATGAAAAACCCTTTTAAATTACAAATATATGGTTACATCATACATGTTTTTCAATATATTGAACTCTTTATCAATAATAAAACAATGCAAGTCCTTTATACAGCAAAACATTTTGTTTATGTTAGAAGTACTTAGGGTAAGCAAATTGGCTGGACCCAGTAGTGACCCAGTACAGTTGTAGTGACATGTTTTGGGGATTTAGAGATATCTATTATTTTGAATGCAATGTAAACAAAAGTATTTAATATATTGTATAGATCAATAAAAAAGGCTATTAAAATACATGTTTATTTTTTACAAATATAATACTGCATGTGTCAGTAAGTTTTATGTCATTGGTGTTCCCACCTTGGAAATTACTCCAAAGATATACAAGGACCTTGAGCATTCCCTCCAGTGGAAAACTGTTATCGAGGGAGGGGTTTATATTAAAGAAAACTATTAGCTAAGGGGGGGGGGGGGGGTCAATATAAATAGTCCGGGTGGCCATTTGATTAATTGTTCAACAGTCTTATGGCTTGGGGGTAGAAGCTGTTAAGGTGCCTTTTGGACCTAGACTTGGCACTCCGGTACCGCTTGCCGTGCGGTAGCATAGAGAACAGTATGACTTGGGTCTTTGACCATTTTTTGGGCCTTACTCTGACACCGCCTAGTATATAGGTCCTGGATGGCAGGAAGCTTGGCCCCAGTGACGTACTGGGCCATACGCATTACCCTCTATAGCGCCTTACGGTCGGATGCCGAGCAATTGCCATACCAGGCGGTGATGCAACCGGTCAGGATGCTCTCGATGGTGCAGCTGTAGAACGTTTTGAGGATCTGGGGACCCATCCCAAAACCTTTCAGTCTCCTGAGGGGGAAAAGGTGTTGTCATGCCCTCTTCACGACTGTCTTCTTGTGTTTGGACCATGATAGTTTGTTGGTGATGTGGACACCAAGGAACTTGAAACTCTCAACCCGCTCCACTACAGCCCCATCGATGTGAATGGGCGTGTTCGGCCCTCCTTTTCCTGTAGTCCACGATCAGCTCCTTTGTCTTGCTCACGCTGAGGAAGAGGTTGTTGTCCTGGCACCACACTGCCAGGTCTCTGACCTCCTCCCTATATGCTGTCTCATCATTGTCGGTGATTAGGCCTACTGTTGTGTCGTCAGCAAACTTAATGATGGTGTTGGAGTTGTGCTTGGCCACGCAGTCGTGGGTTAACAGGGAGTACAGGAGGGGACAAAGCACACACCCCTGAGGGGCCCCAGTGTTGAGGATCAGCGTGGCAGATGTGTTGTTGCCTACCCTTACCACCTGGGGGTGGCCCGTCAGAAAGTTCAAGATCCAGTTGCAGAGGGAGGTGTTTAGTCCCAGGGTCCTTAGCTTAGTGATTAGCTTTTTGGGCACTGTGGTGTTGAACACTGAGCTGTAGTCAATGAACAGCATTCTCACATAGGTGTTCCTTTTGTCCAGGTGGGAAAGGGCAGTGTGGAGTGCGATTGAGATTGCGTCATCTGTGGATCTGTTGGGGCGGTATGCGAATTGGAGTGGGTCTAGGATTTCCGGGATGATTGTGTTGATGTGAGCCATGACCAGCCTTTCAAAGCACTTCATGGCTCCCGACATGAGCGCTATGGGCGGTAGTCATTTAGACAGGTTATCTTCACTTTCTTGGGCACAGGGACTATGGTGGTCTGCTTGAAACATGAGGTATTACAGACTCGGTCAGGGAGAGGTTGAAAATGTCAGTGAAGACACTTGCCAGTAATACAACAAAATGTGGAATAAGTCAAGGGATATGAATACTTTAAGGGCACTGTAGTTGATTTAGAAAAACGCAACCGTAATTCAAGAACGCCCCTACCCACAAGCCTCTTATATAATGCAAAAGAGAAGTGAAAAGCAAAGAAGTACCTTCGTCCCCATAAGCATGGCTTTTACTGTTATCCGTGGATTTTCCGTTTGGCATCTAAAAATGACACAAAATGAAATACACAACATACTGTACATATTATCACATTGCCTCCAAGAGGATGGCTATGAAGACAAGGGGGAAGGAGAAAAAAGTGTAGTCATCCCTGACCTTTTGTGGCTGGTCTTTCTTTAGATGATTGGTTATATTCTTGGGTGGCGCGACACCCATTTTGGCGGACTTGAAGGACTCTAGACGGCTCCTCATGGTTCTCTGGAAGATCTCTTGCACCTCATTCTCATCCTTGTTGACGTCAAGGTGTTTCCGACTGTACCAGTGTCTGTGCTGTTAGGTCAAGGAATGAGAGGAAGAGGGTAAAAAACTGCTTTCTTTTTAGCGCCCTTGGCATTTTTTGGGGGGATCTAATTGTCTTCAACTAAGCAATACCTGTTTCTTGCCTCTGTACAAGTGCTGCTGCAGTAGATGGTGTGCATTAATGTCCTCTGACTCCCTCATCTTCAGGTCCTGCTCATGCATGTTCAGGCAGACAGAGGTTACACTGTCCCATCTAGAAGGGAAGAAACATTAAATGTTCACTGTTAGTAATTTGCTGGCGACTGGAGGGCAGACTCTGAAAACGTACTAGGGCCCGGTTTCCCAAAAGCATCTTAAGGCTAAGTTTCAACAGGACAATGACCCAATACACCTCCAGGCTGTGTAAGGGCTATTTTACCAAGAAGGAGAGTGATGGAGTGCTGCATCAGATGACCTGGCCACCACAATCCCCCGACCTCAACCCAATTGAGATGGTTTGGGATGAGTCGGATCGCAGAGTGAAGGAAAAGCAGCCAACAAGTGCTCAGCATATGTGGGAACTCCTTCAAGACTGTTGGAAAATAATTCCAGGTGACGCTGGTTGAGAGAATGCCAAGAGTGTGCAAAGCTGTCATCAAGGCAAAGGGTGGCTATTTGAAGAATTGGTTTTACTACATGATTCCATATGTGTTATTTCATAGGTTGTCTTCACTATTATTCTACAATGTAAAAAATAATACAAAATAAAGAAAAACCCTTGAATGAGTAGGTGTCAACTTTTGACTTGTAGTGTACATTTACAAAAACACTGTGGCTCCATTGCATGATTTAGGATACAAGAGCGGTTTGGAAGCCGGGTTGTTAGTGTAGAGGAGAGTCGAATTAACACATCAACGCCAGACGTCAACCACAATGAGAATACACAAGGACCTCTCTTCAGTGGCCAGAGAACAAAGAAAGAGGGGGGCCACCCACAGCAATCTACCGGCAGGAGTCGTCCTTCCCCTCTTTTGCTCATCTCACACCTCTAGTCTACATCAAAGCTTCTCCTATCAGCAACAAGGACGACAGCTTTTAACCAAAGGGACTTGTGCCAGAGAGAGACTCAGCTGGGACCCGATGAAGACTGAGGATGACTGTGGCTAACTACTGGACTTCTGAAATCCTTTGTTTTGGAGAGTTCTCTGAAGACCATTAGTTCCAGACAGTATATACATAAGAGTATCCAGCTCAATCTCACATATATTTTCCCTGATTTGAATGTGAGCGTGTATCTGTTACTTTATTATTACTATCTGTATTTCTCCTATAATTTTACATTTGAGTCATTTAGCAGACGCTCTTATCCAGAGCGACTTACAGTTAGTGCATTCCTCTTAAGATAGCTAGGTGGGACAACCAGATACTGTATCACAGGCATAGTAAGTACATTTTTCCTATAATCCCAATAATTAAATATTAAGAATAACTGTTTGATTTTAGGCCCTCTAATCCCCATTACCTGTTTGTGACTCTGATTCTGTAATGTATTAAATTCAAAACTGATATCACATTTACATACATATTCAGAACCTTTACTCAGTACTTTGTTGAAGCACCTTTATTTGGGGAGCTTCTCCCATTCTTCTCTGCAGATCCTCTCAAGCTCTGTCAGGTTGGATGGGGAGCGTCGCTGCAGAGCTATTTTCAGGTCTCTCCAGATATGTTAAATCGAGTTCAAGTCCGGGCTCTGGGTGGGCCACTCAAGGACATTCAGAGACTTGTCCCAAAGCCACTCCTGCATTGTCTTGGCTGTGTGCTTAGGGTCGTTGTCCTGTTGGAAGGTGAACCTTCGCCCCAGTCTGAGGTCCTGAGTGCTCTGGAGCAGGTTTTCATCAAGGATCTCTCTGTACTTTGCTCCGTTCATCTTTCCCTCGATCCTGACTAGTCACCCTGCCACTAAAAAACATCCCCACAGCATGATGTTGCCACCACCATGCTTCACTGTAGGGATGGTGCTAGGTTTCCTCCAGACGTGACGATTGGCATTCAGGCCAAAGAGTTCAATCTTGGTTTCATCAGAGGAGAGAATCTTGTTTCTCATGGTCTGAGAGTCCTTTAGGTGCCTTTTGGCAAACTCCAAGCGGGCTGTCATGTGCCTTTTTACTGAGGATTGGCTTCCGTCTGGCCACTGTACCATAAAGGCCTAATTGGTGGAGTGCTGCAGAGACGGTTGTTCTGGAAGGTTCTCCCATCTCCACAGAGGAACTCTGGAGCTCTGTCAGAGTGACCATCGGGTTCTTGGTCACCTCCCTGACCAAGGCCCTTCTCCCCCGATTGCTCCGTTTAGCCGGGCGGCCAGCTCTAGGAAGTCTTGGTGGTTCCAAACTTCTTCCATTTAAGAATGATGGAGGCCACTGTGTTCTTGGGGACCTTCAATGCTGCAGACATTTTTTTCTACCCTTCCCCAGATCTGTGCCTCGACACAATCCTGTCTCGGAGCTCTATAGACAATTCCTTCGACCTCACGGCATGGTTTTTGCTCTGACATGCACTGTCAACTGTGGGACCTTATAGAGACAGGTGTGTGCCTTTCCAAATCAACTCCAATCAAGTTATAGAAACATATCTCAAGGATGATCAATGGAAACAGGATGCACCTGAGCTCAATTTCGAGTCTCATAGCAAATGGTCTGAATACTTATGTAAATGCAATGTTTTTTTTATTTTTAATAAATGTGCAAACATTTCTAAAAACCTGTTTTTGCTTTGTCATTATGGGGTATTGTATGTAGATTGATCAGGGGAAAAAAATATTTAATCAATTTTAGAATAAGGCTGTAACGTAACAATTTCGAAAAAGAGAAGGGGTCTGAATACTTTCAGAATGCACTGTAAATACTACAGTAATGTTTGCAAAAACACTATAGTCCACAAAACACTGCAGTAATTATTATAGTATATGTTACAGTATTTATTTGCATATACCCTTCCCATTTTCCTCCCCCATATCCCAATTTGTGCCACTCAAATGTGAGAAACCTACATGCCAAGTATAGACCATATATTGTGTTCCCTACAGGTTATGAAAAGAGCAGTTCAGTCGAATAGTTTTCCTCGAGGAGAAAGCCCCCACTGCAATGGGAAAGATAATAATAAAAAAAACACTGTAGTAAATACTACAGTAATGTCTGCAAAAACACTACAGTATAAAACAGTCCGCAAAAACATTAGTCATTACTATAGTCGTTTTCTTTTTACTACAGTATTTATACTATAGTAAACTTTAAATACTGCATTATACTATAGTCATGTCCGCAACACTACAGGAAATACTACAGTAAAGTCAGCAAAAACACCACAGTGAATACTATAGTATTTATGCCATAGTATACTATAGTATTTTTTCATGTGGGTGTGGAGCACATCCTAAAGGGTTCGAGCCAGGATCCACTAGGCTCATATACAATCTCCTCGGGCTGGTCACTAGTTTTACATCAAACTGTCCTGCAACATCATTTCCATCCTATCCTACAATAGAGGGATTTTACTACACTGACGATTCGCAACCGCTAGTGTGTGTTCGCTCTCTTCACCAAGCAGACTGGCTCCCAGACTGTTAGACACAGCAGGCACTTTTCACCTGTTCGGCTAGCTATAACTATAGCCACCATTGGGCGCCATGCGTAGGGTGTTTGTTTCCCACACCAGCGATCCGGCTTGGCCTCCCTGTCCCGCCGTTCGCTACATTGGTGCAAACTATGGGACGGTGACTATGGGATCATTGGAACACACCATGTGTGTGTTTTCCTAAGGTGATGCGGCTGTAATAGATCATCCGCTCAGTTCTTCTGTACTCTTGCACTGTTGCTAGACTAATACAGATGTCTAGCCTCCGTATTGGAACAATACGACAAGGGAAACCACCCTCTAGCAGGTTGCTCTAAGGAGGGATTGAGTTATACAGTGGGGAAAAAAGTATTTAGTCAGCCACCAATTGTGCAAGTTCTCCCACTTAAAAACATGAGAGAGGCCTGTAATTTTCATCATAGGTACACGTCAACTATGACAGACAAAATGAGAAAAAAAATTCTAGAAAATCACATTGTAGGATTTTTAATGAATTTATTTGCAAATTATGGTGGAAAATAAGTATTTGGTTTGGTTTGAAGAAATCAACAGTGGGAGCAATTATTAGGAAATGGAAGACATACAAGACCACTGATAATCTCCCTCGATCTGGGGCTCCACGCAAGATCTCACCCCGTGGGGTCAAAATGATCACAAGAACGGTGAGCAAAAATCCCAGAACCACACGGGGGGACCTAGTGAATGACCTGCAGAGAGCAGGGACCAAAGTAACAAAGCCTACCATCAGTAACACACTACGCCGCCAGGGACTCAAATCCTGCAGTGCCAGACGTGTCCCCCTGCTTAAGCCAGTACATGTCCAGGCCCGTCTGAAGTTTGCTAGCGTGCATTTGGATGATCCAGAAGAGGATTGGGAGAATGTCATATGGTCAGATGAAACCAAAATAGAACTTTTTGGTAAAAACTCAACTCGTCGTGTTTGGAGGACAAAGAATGCTGAGTTGCATCCAAAGAACACCATACCTACTGTGAAGCATGGGGGTGGAAACATCATGCTTTGGGGCTGTTTTTCTGCAAAGGGACCAGGACGACTGATCCGTGTAAAGGAAAGAATGAATGGGGCCATGTATCGTGAGATTTTGAGTGAAAACCTCCTTCCATCAGCAAAGGCATTGAAGATGAAACATGGCTGGGTCTTTCAGCATGACAATGATCCCAAACACACTGCCCGGGCAACGAAGGAGTGGCTTCGTTAGAAGCATTTCAAGGTCCTGGAGTGGCCTAGCCAGTCTCCAGATCTCAACCCCATAGAAAATCTTTGGAGGGAGTTGAAAGTCTGTGTTGCCCAGCGACAGCCCCAAAACATCACTGCTCTAGAGGAGATCTACATGGAAGAATGGGCCAAAATACCAGCAACAGTGTGTGAAAACCTTGTGAAGACTTACAGAAAACGTTTGACCTGTGTCATTGCCAACAAAGGGTATATAACAAAGTATTGAGAAACTTTTGTTATTGACCAAATACTTATTTTCCACCATAATTTGCAAATAAATTCATTAAAAATCCTACAATGTGATTTTCTGGAATTTTTTTTCTCATTTTGTCTGTCATAGTTGACGTGTACCTATGATGAAAATTACAGGCCTCTCTCATCTTTTTAAGTGGGAGAACTTGCACAATTGGTGGCTGACTAAATACTTTTTTTCCCCACTGTACATGCAAAATGGGTAAGTAAACTGCACGCAATGTCAGTTTCACCATTCGTACCTGTACTTTGCCCCAGGGTTGTCCAACCCTATAGTGCATTACTTTTGACTTGAGCCATTGAGATGCGGACTGAGTCAGGCAATGTTGCTTACAAGATGGAGGAGACTGGAACATGATCCATTGGGATGCATGTGCCATTGGGATGCAAATTAAGTCAGGCAATGTTGCTTACAAGATGGAGACTGGAACATGATCCGGTCCCATATTTTCTGTCATGATGGAAGGCATCATCTCTGAGAAGTTGGCACCAAACATCTTATTGAAATCCACATCAGCCTTGGATTCATGCCGAACGAACGCCAATGAGCCTCTGCTTTCTCCCTATAATGGGATAAAAATATTTCATCAAATCAAAGTTGTACACAGTCTCCATCAGATTAGAAGATGTAGCAGTGAAATGCTTGTGTTACTTGCTCTTAACAGTTCGAGTAACACAAGCATTTTGCTGCACCCGCTGTAACATCTGCTATAAAAAATAAACAAAAAAAATATATTTGTAATGTTAATGTAAATCAGTGATCCTGGTGGTTAATTTATTGTGTAGCATTGTAACTACAGTATTAAGTTGTCATGGCTTTCCCAAACCTTTAGTCGCTCTTACCTCTTTCACATAGCTCATGGCATCCTTGAGGTTGAGCTTGTGGAAGATGTTGAATATGTGGTCACAAGACTTCCTGGCAGAGGGAGTCATCAAGAGCCAGTACAACCACCTCTCCTCAAATGTATTCCACCTTAGAAGGATACGAGAAGAGAATAAAAACAAAACAATTGTGTTAAATTTAATCTTTGAAAGGTATGGTATGTAATACATTAATTTAAATAATACTTATATGATGACAACTTATTGAAGTTGATAATATGATGTTAGTGTCCACATACTTGTCCCTCATGTAGTTATGTCCTATTTGTCCAGAAATGTCCTCTATGGCGACAAGCATGTGGTCAAAGGTCTGAAAAAATAAAATGGAATGATGATTCATGGATATATTTAATCAAGGTTAGATTTAGGTTGACCATTTTCAACACTGTTAGATTAACTGGTTGATGTTTTATAAAAAGAGGGGTTTAGCAACTGACACTCAGCCCTTGATAAACACCCTTCATCTTCCAGACCCCTCTCCCTCTATACACTAACTGCTGTTGAGTTCATGTTTGGGTTGAGGGCCGGTTGACATGTGCACTACTGGACACAGATTCCACAATGACCCTTATCCATCCTGACCTTCTGCCTCCTGGTGCTCAACCCCAAGCCACCGAAGTTCCCTTCATCACAGTAACTGGAGAAAGAGCTCCTATTCTGGGAAGGTGTGAAGTCTTGATACAGGTGGGTGACTACTCTGCACGTCACCCTGTCTGGGTTGCTGAAGTTAAAGTGCACTATTTACTAGGCATGGCTTTCCTGTGTAAGGCAGAGGCAAAGCTGGACTTCCAGACAAATACCATTATTTTCCAAGATGATAAACCCATCCCCCCTTTCAGTGAGGCTGCCTTTCCCATGATGCCCACTGTGGCGCAAACAAACCCTGCCAACCGACAAGCCCTAGCCTTTAGTGGGAAGCCCCCTTTGCAGAGTGCACGTTCCCCCTCTCCAATGATAGCCCCACCACCATGGAGCCACAGGAGTAACTACAGCCCCTGCCTACACCAGTTATACAGACGGCAAGTGTCACCACAGTCGCAGAATCGGCAGCAAAGCCATGTGGGAGTGACAAGTCTGGGACCTACTTTACACATTCTGGCACAGCTTTGCTGTCACTCCTAATGATGTAGGTCGAACCCACTTGGTGCAGCACATCATTGACACAGGCAACGTGCTCCATCCGACAACGCGCCAGATGGATGCCCTATGCCCACCAAGCCGCAGCGGATGAGCTCATAGAACAGATGGCATCTACTGACACCATCAAACAGTTTGATAGGCCTCCCCCGTGGTCATGGTCCTCAAAAAGAGATGGAACCTATAGGTTCTCTGCCGACTATCAGCAACTGAACGACAAGACGGTGAAAGATTCCTATCCACTGCATCGGATAAACGAGTGTCTCGATTATGTCGCTGGCTCAGCTTGGTTCTCTTCCCTGGATCTACGGAGCGGATAGCCAGGTATCTCTGGCACCCAAATACAAAGCAAAGACTGCCTTCACCATAGGACGAGGCCTGTGGCAGTTTACCACTATGCCCTTTAGCTTGTATAATGCCCCTGCCACCTTCAAGAGGCTTATAGAGAAGGTTCTCAAAGGTGTGCCCCCGGAACAATGTGTGGTGTATTTCGATGATCTACTGGTGCATGGGACAAGCTTCGAGATTGCGTAGGAAAACTTGGAGGAAGTTCTAGGCCGAATCCAAAGAGAAAAGTGCAGTTTCATGCAGAAAGATGTTACCTTCCTCGGACACAGAGTCAGCCAGGCAGGAGTCATGACAAAACCGAACAAAGTTGCCGCTGTCAGGGATTGGCTTACACCATACATACACCAGCTTCGGTCTTTCTTAGGGCTAGCCTCCTATTACAGATGCTTTATTGCTGGGTTCGCCACTATGGCAGCCCCCTTTTACTACCTTTTGCGGAAGTTCAAAGTTTTCCAATTTTCACTGATATCCACATGGCAGTCAATACCCTCTTTGAGTGGGGGATGGACCAACATACACCCTTTAACATCCTGAAGCAGGCTTTGTGTCAGGACCCTGTGTGCATCAGATCCCCAGATCCGGGAAATCCGTTCAACCTCGATACGGATGCCAGCAATGAAGGCCTCGGTGCAGTCTTGTCGCAGCTAACCCCGGAAGGAAAATGAGTTGCATATTACAATCGCACCTTTGACAAGCCAGAGAATAATTGTATAACCCGCCGGGAGCTTCTGGCGTTCGTCGACTCAGTTGAGCACTTCAAGCATCTCCTCTGTAGCCTTCCTTTCACCGTGTGCACCGATCATGCTGCCTTGAAGTGGCTCCTGTCCTTCAAAGAGCCGGAAGGAGTAGCTCGGTGGATCAAACAGCTCCAGGCATTCCAATTCACCATTCAGCACAGAGCCGGGGAAAGCCATACTAATGCAGATAGCATGTCTCGGCTGCCATGTGCACCAGAATGCCACATCTGCAACTGAGCAGAAGCACGTGAGGCCGTGAACCTGCATGTCGAAGAGGTGAAGTGCTGGGCACTGCTACCAGCAAATGAACAAAGTTGGCGAGAACTGCAGCTGGATGATCCTGACCTCAGGATGGTCATGGGTTGGCTGGAGGAAGGGTCCCGGCCACCCTGGGAAGAAGTAGTGGCACGGTCTGCCACTGTCAGAGGCCTATGATCTGAATGGCCTGGTGTACAGCTCCTGCCAGCCACCTGTGAACCCTGTTGGCAAGTGGTGGTGCCCAAGGATCTTTGAGAAAAGGTGTTGTAGGCACATCATGGATCCCCCGTCGTTGGCCACTTTGGAGTAACAAAGATCAGTGTAGCGACCCTCTAGCTCTATCATAAAATACCAAAAATCATGTGGGGGGGCTCATGGGGAAATTATGGGGGGAGGAGTTGCACCTAGTTCACATAGCTGATAGGCCACTAGTTTTTGGGGTTGAGGGGGGTCTGAGAGACTGAATGGGACACAATAACATCTCCTCTGAGTTATTTGACAGCCAGATGCTTTTATTGTTTTGGGCAACCCTTCTAACCCTCTGTTAGCCTTTATTTCGAGGGCATTAAAACCTGATTTGCCGGTTCAGCTACAGTCTCCTCGTTCTTCTAGTTAGTTAGCTAGCTAAGGAGTGGGTCCGCTAACGCCACAATATAGCCAATTTTGACTTTGTGGCTGTGTTATCTAGTGGAAAACATACCTGTGGGCTGTGGGTTGTGACAGCAGAGATGGTAGAGAAAGCAAGACAATCCACTCCCATTGCCCATTCCCTCATTTTTTTTGATGGGGAGAAGCGGCTTGGAAGCCGGTTGTGAGTGTATGAGCTGGGAGACCGGTATAGCTCATTCATTTTAAAGGTATTCGCTTTTAACATTGTAATGTGAATCAAGTCTATCTAATAACGCTGTTTATTTAACCTTTTGCTGCAGTGGGCTAAATCATGGTCACACAGAGTGTTTCTTGGTAGTCTTAAACAAATATACTTTGAAAAAAGGTATACACCTCACACATGGTTATGGGCCTAAAAAAAAGAAGACACCTGTACCATGTCAGATATAGAGTTGAAATGCATTCAATTTTGAGTTTGCATCCCAATATTACACTTGATAATATACATCACAAAATACTGAAATATAACAAAACAGTTTGACATAGAAACACCGGATTTTCAGCGTTTTAAAAATAAATGATGTTTATTAATTATGAAAAATATAATCACATTCCACCCATGAGGCCACTAGGTCATTTGACTGCAGGAAAGGGCTACTAAAAAAATACTGCTATTGTATAAATGACCCGGGGTTATAATTATGTTTTTTATTTTTCACAGAGCTTTTGGAGCGCTGTTCTTACTGTTGAGTTAGTTTGTGTCCCGATAGGTAGGTAGGTTTTTTCTCTGTAGTCTGCCCTGGTGAGCTGGTATCCAGGCAAAAGATTTGGGGTTGCCTTAGCGGGCGGATTAGTACAATTTTCTTTGTAATATACATGTTTGTTTGTATGTTGCGTCACCACTTCCCTAGAGACCTCCTTAGGAGGGAGCTATTTCATTCGAAAGCAGTGTGCATTCACATGCCAATTACCACCATTGTGTTGTTATACCAATTACCACCAGTGTGTTATTATCCTATAAGAATATTATACCATGAGTGTGCTATCTCACAAAGTTTTTCATCACGAGTGTACTAGCTTACAAAGAGTATTTCATCACGAGTGTGCTTTATTTAAAGTCTGCATGAATCTCGCCCTGCTACTAATTTATTTGTGTGTTCTCTTAATATACCTTGTCATTAACAAAGGTGGTGTAGTACAGTTTACAAAAAGTAAAAACTTTACTTTGGGGATTAATTAGAGAGATGTAAGGTGTGTTGTCTGAGTCTTTGGGGTTGATGAACAACAAAGACTTCTGACCAGATAGTTACCCTATTCTGTATTTTTTCAGCTAGTGTGCGTTCTGTCACTGCTGCCCTCTTCACTTTCAGCCAGTTGACCAGTGGTTTCATGGTTATTCCCTGCAACAAATAAGAAAATATAGTAAACCGGTGGCCAATTAAAATATACCAGTCTGTTCAAGTGAACACATTACACTATGAAAGAAAACAACAAATATTTCACTATCTATCGACTGAAGTTTGACATTTAAATGAGCTATTTTACCTGCAGCACGACAGTGAAGTACACCACTAGGAGGGTGGTGCTGATCATCAGATTCTTCTCCTTGAACTTATTCTCATCCAGCGAGACCACAAGGCCATAGGCTACTGCCCCTCGTAGGCCACCGTAGCCCATCACTACCTGATCAATAAACTCCAAGGGAACCAGTCGGTACTGGTTGAGAATCCAGGTGAGTAAAAAGACCCCTGTGATATAGACATACACACAGAGAAAGGCAGTATTTCTGTTACATGTGCCTTGTAGTCTTCACATTTTGCTGCCATAAAATTACATCTAAAAAGGGATAAAATTAGATGTTTTTCCTACAGATACACAACCTACTTCACATTTTAAAAGTGACATACAATTATAGAAAATGTTCCTAATTAATACAATTTAAAAAAACGAAGATGTCTTGATTGTGTATGTTTTCACACCTCAGAGTTTTCACACCGCCGCGTTCACATGCTATCGGAGTTATCGGAAACAGTGGGAAATGAATGACCGTCCAAGTCGGAATTACAAGTGGGAAACTCAGAGAAAAATGTTGTTACCCGAGTTGTGACATTTCACAACTGACCTTTTACCTTTTCATCCAAAAAATGACAAATCAATTTTTGACAATGACAACCTTATCAATATGGATAATGTAGCTACTCTGACAGTCCTGTAGCTCAGCATCCGCTTCATCGGACCACTTCACTATTGAGCGCATCTCAATTGAGCGTATCACTGGTACTTCCGTATGGAGTTTTTGTTTGTAAGCAAGAATCAGAAGGATAGAGTTATGGTCAGATTTGCCGAATGGAGGGCAAGGGAGAGTTTTGTATGCATCTCTGTATGTGGAGTAAAGGTGATCTAGAGTTTTTTTCCCCCCTCTAGTTGCACAGGTGACATGCTGGTAGAAATGAGGTAAAATTGATTTGTTTTCCTGCATTAAAATCACCGGCCACTAGGAGCGCCGCCTCTGGCTGAGCATTTTCTTGTTTGCTTATGGCCCTATACAGCTCATTGAGTGCAGTCTTAGTGCCAGCATCAGTTTGTGGTGGTAAATAGACAGCTACGAAAAATATAGATGAAAACTCTCTTGGTAAATAGTATGGTCATGAGGTATTCTAACTTAGGCGAGCTCCTGCTCCTAGAGACTCCACTAAGTTTAAGCTTTTTACCATTGTCCTCTTTCCCTTCTGCGATTGGTTCATGCAGTCGGGCTGGTGCCTGTTCTGCCTCCCGTCATACAGGAGCGAGTGGCTGAGCATTCACTTCTCTTGACACCCTCTCTCCTACACGGAGCAGGATCAAGACATACGGTCCTATTGCACTGGATTAAGAAATCTGGCCCACAGTTTTTTCTTATCGTTTCACTTCACAGCCTGACTTCATACGTCACGCATTTGTCTGCGCTCTCGTGAACGGTAGTCCTGCGGGTTGACATGGTTCACCTCCCTGCTGCCACGCACTATGGACTCTGTCTCGAAAAGGCTCAAATAGGCTCTTTTTTTTTTGTATGTGCCTACCCCAGACGGTTCCAAAAATGCCCCAGCTTCTGGGGTACTTTTGCAGCCACTACAGGATCTCTGCACCCTGCTGGGGTGTGTGCTTGATAAACAGTGACATTCTAGTCAGCCAGTTCTTTACCTGCTTATGTCCAGTCCTGGTGGGGTTGGCTTTTGCATATGACACCCTAGCATACAGAACCCTTTTGACATGTGTTTCTACCCCGGTCGCCAGTAGGCTACATGCCCTGTGCACGACCGGCATGTGGACTGTTTTCTGTCGGCCCGATGCTAACACAGTCTCTTTTCGTTGGGTTACCTTCACGTAGCCTGCCTAATCCCTCTCTGTGACTTAGGTCCAGTAGTTTATTCAAGATTGGACCTTGGGAGTCTTTGACTTCCTGTCCGCCACCTTCCCCAGAAGAGAGTCTCCTTTTGTTCCAGTGTGCGCTCTGCTCCTTTGCTGGAGGGGACAAGAGCCTATGCTGTTATGCTCTCCTTGGTAGCTGCCTTCGACAGAGGGTGGATACCTCTCTTTTCTCCTACACTATCCTGCTTAGGATTCGAACCCTATTCGCTGTTCTCTAGGTCTGTCTTCAACAGACATTTGTGATTGGTTACTTTGAGTTATGGGAGTTACAGAACAAAATCCTATTGTGAAATATTTCACTCGTTATGTAAATAACCTTTAGTTTCACAATGTATTGGATTTTACCCAAACCTGTCGTTTTTAATTCAGGCCCCCAAATGTTTTTGCCGTATTGTCTTGCAGTATTAATTAACGGCCTTGTTGCAAACAGAATCAATGATTTAGAGTGGATTTTTTAACACAGGCTTTCTTCTTTTCACTATGTCATACAGGCCAGTAATGTGGAGTGAATGTAATGTTGTTGATCCTCTGTATTTTCAAGTATTGTGGTGGCAGCATCATGTTATGGATATGATTGTCACCGGCAGGGATTGGGGAGTTTGACAGGACCAAAATAAATATGAAAGGAGCAAAGCCCAAGTAAAAAGTTAAAGGAAAACCCGACGTAGTCTTCTGAAAACCTAACCCTGGGATAGAATTGTATTTTTCAGCGAGACAATTACACAAATGTTTATGCCATACACACCAGAATGGCTTTTCAATAGGTGTTTAGTGTTCCTGAATGGTCCCGTCTCAGTCCTGACTTACAGTGTGGAAAAAAAGTATTTAGTCAGCCACCAATTGTGCAAGTTCTCCCACTTAAAAAGATGAGAGAGGCCTGTAATTTTCATCATAGGTACATTCAACTATGACAGAGAAAATGACAAAACAAAATCCAGAAAATCACATAATAGGATTTTTAATGAATTTATTTGCAAATTATGGTGGAAAATAAGTATTTGGTCAATAACAAAAGTTTCTCAATACTTTGTTATATACCCTTTGTTGGCAATGACACAGGTTAAACGTTTTCTGTAAGTCTTCACAAGGTTTTCACACACTGTTGCTGGTATTTTGGCCCATTCCTCCATGCAGATCTCCTCTAGAGCAGTGACGTTTTGGGGCTGTCGCTGGGCAACACAGACTTTCAACTCCCTCCAAAGATTTTCTATGGGGTTGAGATCTGGAGACTGGCTAGGCCACTCCAGGACCTTGAAATGCTTCTTACGAAGCCACTCCTTCGTTGCCCGGGCGGTGTGTTTGGGATCATTGTCATGCTGAAAGACCCAGCCACGTTTCATCTTCAATGCCCTTGCTGATGGAAGGAGGTTTTTACTCAAAATCTCACGATACATGGCCCCATTCATTCTTTCCTTTACACGGATCAGTCGTCCTGGTCCCTTTGCAGAAAAACAGCCCCAAAGCATGATGTTTCCACCCCCATGCTTCACAGTAGGTATGGTGTTCTTTGGATGCAACTCAGCATTCTTTGTCCCCCAAACACGACGAGTTGAGTTTTTACCAAAAAGTTATATTTTGGTTTCATCTGACCATATGACATTCTCCCAATCCTCTTCTGGATCATCCAAATGCACTCTAGCAAACTTCAGACGGGCCTGGACATGTACTGGCTTAAGCAGGGGGACACGTCTGGCACTGCAGGATTTGAGTCCCTGGCGGCGTAGTGTGTTACTGATGGTAGGCTTTATTACTTTGGTCCCAGCTCTCTGCAGGTCATTCACTAGGTCCCCCCGTGTGGTTCTGGGATTTTTGCTCACCGTTCTTGTGATCATTTTGACCCCACGAGGTGAGATCTTGCGTGGAGCCCCAGATCGAGGGAGATTATCAGTGGTCTTGTATGTCTTCCATTTCCTAATAATTGCTCCCACAGTTGATTTCTTCAAACCAAGCTGCTTACCTATTGCAGATTCAGTCTTCCCAGCCTGGTGCAGGTCTACAATTTTGTTTCTGGTGTCCTTTGACAGCTCTTTGGTCTTGGCCATAGTGGAGTTTGGAGTGTGACTGTTTGAGGTTGTGGACAGGTGTCTTTTATACTGATAACAAGTTCAAACAGGTGTCATTAATACAGGTAACGAGTGGAGGACAGAGGAGCCTCTTAAAGAAGAAGTTACAGGTCTGTGAGAGCCAGAAATCTTGCTTGTTTGTACGTGACCAAATACTTATTTTCCACCATATAATTTGCAAATAAATTCATAAAAAATCCTACAATGTGATTTTTTGGATTTTTTTTTCTCTATTTGTCTGTCATAGTTGACGTGTACCTATGATGAAAATTACAGGCCTCTCTCATCTTTTTAAGTGGGAGAACTTGCACAATTGGTGGCTGACTAAATACTTTCTTTCCCCGCTGTATATTTCTCCCATGGGCAAAGAAATTCAAAAGGGGTGGTCATATTAATTAACAGACATTTTTATCAGAATGTGCAAATTGTCCAAACAGATCCTCAAGGTAGATGGATGATTTAAATTTAATTGGACCATAAACAGATATGGCTCATTAACCTAAATGGTCCAAATAATGATGATTCACGCTTCTTTGAAAATACAGTGGGGAGAACAAGTATTTGATACACTGCCGATTTTGCAGGTTTTCCTACTTACAAAGCATGTAGAGGTCTGTAATTTTTATCATAGGTACACTTCAACTGCGAGAGACGGAATCTAAAACAAAAATCCAGAAAATCACATTGTATGATTTTTAAGTAATTAATTTGCATTTTATTGCATGACATAAGTATTTGATCACCTACCAACCAGTAAGAATTCCGGCTCTCACAGACCTGTTAGTTTTTCTTTAAGAAGCCCTCCTGTTCTCCACTCATTACCTGTATTAACTGCACCTGTTTGAACTCGTTACCTGTATAAAAGACACCTGTCCACACACTCAATCAAACAGACTCCAACCTCTCCACAATGGCCAAGACCAGAGCGCTGTGTAAGGACATCAGGGTTAAAATTGTAGACCTGCACAAGGCTGGGATGGGCTACAGGACAATAGGCAAGCAGCTTGGTGAGAAGGCAACAACTGTTGGCGCAATTATTCGAAAATGGAAGAAGTTCAAGATGACGGTCAATCACCCTCGGTCTGGGGCTCCATGCAAGATCTCACCTCGTGGGGCATCAATGATCATGAGGAAGGTGAGGGATCAGCCCAGAACTACACGGCAGGACCTGGTCAATGACCTGAAGAGAGCTGAGACCACAGTCTCAAAGAAAACCATTAGTAACACACTACGCCGTCATGGATTAAAATCCTGCAGCGCACACAAGTTCACCCT